CTTTTCCTTCTCTATTTTACTTGCAACGAATTGTTTCTGTCCTGCACAGGATTTCAGGCATTTTGTCCCCTCCCCTCCCTGCCTCCCTCCTGCCCAGCGCTGCTGTCTGACTGTGTAGAGCAGATGAGGGGGCACCTCACTGCTTGTTTGGGGTGATGCTCCCCCCAGAAGAACACCTGTGCCAGGACCTGTATTTGCCAGAGACCTGTACCTGGTGCAGAGGACATGGAGGATGGAAAAGAGCATTTTATCCAGGTTTGGGGGCTCCCTGACAGGAGAGCAGTGCAGCACATCTCAGAGATCAATCCTGCCTTCCCATGTGTGATGCTGCCCACCCCAGAAGCACAAGGTCTCACGGGGTTGTTTGTGGTAAAATGCTCGTACAACAGCAGTGCCTGAAACACCCTCTTGCAGGTGCAGCTCCACAAAAACGAGGGGCTGCTGGAAGGGGCCCACGGCAGCACGTGGGGCTGATTCCCCCTTGGCACTCATGGGCTCCCTGCAGGGGGAAGACGTCATGGGGGGAACCTCAACACCCAAAGCCTGGCTAGGGACCCTGGTCTCTCTTCTGCTTGTGTGCCCAAGGCCCTGTGTCAAGCCAGTGGGGTAGAAGTCCAGAGCTGTGGGCAAGAACAGAGAGGGTGGGCAGGGACAAAACGCCTTTGGGTCCTGCATTGTGGGGGGCAGCCCTTTGATGCTGGGGATCATCTCCCCCATGCAAGGGACAGTGGCCATTCTCTGAGGAACATGTAGGGTCCTCTGACAGCAGGGGTGAGAGTGGTTTGGGTGAGCCAGGGCTCCCACTTACCTTCTGGGTCTGCCCACATCCCTGGGAGGAGGAGGGGAAGAAAGGGGAAGAGGTGAGGGGGCTGCATGGTGCATGCAGGGGCTGAAGAAGCAGCAGCAGTGACTGTGGGAAGAGGAAGAACGTTGGGGTCCAACACTTCAGCCCAGCCCAGCAGTCACTGCGGCAGCTCTGCACCAATGGGAGCGCAGTGAATGTGCTGGGGTGAGGGCTGGGGACGTGTGGGAGGGATGAGAGCTGAAATAATGTCTCGAGCATGAAGTGCTATGACAGGCTGGGCCTGGAGAAAGCCCAGCCAGGAACAAAGAGAGTCCCAGGAAACATCGCTAGGAGAAAGCAGATGTTCAAGGGTCCCCCTGGCTCCCCCTCCCCACCAGTGGTACTTTGTCCTATCCCAGTTCTTGTGGGGTGCATCAGCTCCAGTGGAGGGAACGATGGCTTTTGGATTTCAGCCCTGACTGGTTGCTGTCCTCCCAGCCCCCACATGGCAAGAAGGGACACTTTGTGTCCCCCCCTCTGGCACCTCCGGCTCAGGCTGCTCCTGCACCACCTGCCTAACCCTGGGGATGAGGATCCCAGGGAGGAGGTGACAAACAGTTCCTGACTAACCCCAAGCTGTGGGATGTTGCTGGAGAGCCCCATCTCTGCCCTAAATGCCCCCAGGAGAGGGCCCAGGGGTGGGTCTGGCACTCCCCTTTCCTTTCTACCAACTTTGGTGCCCACGGGGACAGAGCAGGGGAATGGCTCCCACCGTTCCTGTTCCCACGCACAGGGGACTCTTGGGGAGGGGGACAGGATTCTGCACCAGTGTCCAGTGGTACAGTGGAGGCACAATGGTGAGCCAGCCTCACCCCCACAATGTCCCTGATCCACTGCTCCTCCCCAGCTCCTCCCCTCAACGCGTAGTTTCTCTTCCCCTTCCCACGCTGGGAGTGAAGGCAGAACTGAAACCACAGCTGAGGGGAAATGTGAGGGGTGCATCTCAGTATGTCCAAACACGATCCCTTCCATGGAACTGTCCCAGTGAGAAATAGGGATGCTGTGGTGGCCTGGTGTGCAAGTTCCGAGCTGGCTTCCCGCCACGTCTCCGAAACTTGACAACAAAGGCCTGCTTCCCAGAGAGGGAAGAAAAAAACCCAGCAGCCAAAGCTATAGCAAAAATATATATATTTTACATGTAAGACAGATATATACGATGAGAATATTATATACTATAACCCCAGAAACCCTAAATAGCTCCCTAAAAGGGAAGAGGGGGAGGGAGAAGGGAAAAGGACAAAATAGGACAAAAAGGGGCAAGAACCAAACAAGTCTACACAATCTAAAAACCCGGTAACCAGCAAACTGAAGAACTAGCAAAATCTCACCACTTCCCTTGAGAGAAGCAGGATGGCTGGACACGGCCCAGCACTGTCCCCTCACGCGTGGCAGATAACAGCAGTCACTGGAGGCCTCAGCTCCAGATAAGCCAGACCAAGACAGGGACCCACCGTTCTCGAACCTCACCAGAAAGTAAGAGGGCTTTATTTATACCTCAAATTAAGTAAAGGAATAGCATGGAATACTTCCGTGATCACCTTCCTAGTTCCTTCCTGGTTACAAGCTGGTCTCCAGGAAGCCCTAGAGTGAAACCATCACACCTGGTAGGCCCAGAAATGGCAACAACTTCCCCAGCAGCCTCACCCAGGGGATGTCCAGCTTTGTGGATGCCACCACAAAGTTCCTTTGGAGCCACCAGTGCTGGGCCCAGAGGGAGTGTTTGGCTGGTGGGATGGCAAAGTGCAGCCTTGGAGCAGTCAGGGAGGGAAGGGGCAGAGGCACTTTTGTCCACGCTGTCCTGTGAGGTGACCACTTTTCCCCATGATCCCCCCTAAGATGAGTGTTGGTCACTTCTTGCTGAGCAGCTGAGGGGCCGTTCTCAGCCCTCTGAGGGGCCGTTCTCAGCCCTCTGTCCTGTGCAGGTGCACATGACACTGCTGGTGCCTGGGTCACTGGTAGGACAGGAGCAGGCACCTGCTTTGTGCTGGTGGTCACAATGTGTTCAGGCCCCTCTGAATTTTCTCCTGATGTTTCCCACTGTCACAGGGGATCAGAAGTACTTCTTTAGCCATTCCTCTTCTCTATGGAATGTACTTCTCCTCGTGGTTTTGTTTTTGTTTGTTTGGTTTGTTGTTTTTTTCCCCCTTTCTTTCTTGCTCACAACTTCTTCGTCCTTCACATTGTCCCTTTGTCTGGTCAGAAAATAACCCAAGGGGACAGGGGGCTCTTGATCCACACTGACCATTGGTCCTCACTGTCCTCTCAGGTCACCATGGTCCTCAGAGTCACCCCCAGGTTACCACTGGTCCCCACAGTTCCCTCAGGTGGTATTGGTTCTTTACAGTCCTACTGGGTGATTACTGGTGCTCACTTTCCCCCTGCACCAGGTGACTGTAGGAGTTTGTTCCACCTGATGTGGCCCACAGGGGACACTGGTGTTTGCATCCCCTCAGGTGATTGTTGGTCCTTGCAGTGCCCCCTGTGCTGAAGGCTGTAAGCCCCGAGGCCAGGGCTGTGCCTGGGTGAGTCGTGCTGGGGTGGACAGGGCTGCAGTGCCCCTGGGTGCTGCACTGAGGTGGGCAGCAGCACTCGGTGGGCTGGGCTGAAGTGCCTGAAGAGCCCTCTCAAAATGCCTGGGTGGGGGCTGTTTGTTATAGGGTCTCTTGGGGGGCTGTGAGCACACGCTTGCAGACACCTCCTTGGTGCCAGGTGTTTGTGGCTGTGTAGGGTCTCTGTGTGAATGAACTCCCAAAACACCTTTCCCCAGCAGGTTTGCCCACCAGCTGCACCTGCTTTCCAGGTTCTGTGGGTGAGCTTCATCCTACCCCATCCCGTGAGTGCTGCAGGGTGTTCCACTCTGCCTGGGAGAGGAATTGCCCCATTTGCTCCCAGAGGGAGCCCTGCCCACACCCGAGGGTTCCATCTGTCTGTCCCCAGTCAGCAAGGGCTGGGAGAGGCTTGGTGTCACCCCTCATGCTGCAAGGTCCTTGAGCCCTGTGGTGCCAGCAGGTGACTCTGGCTGCCAGGAAAATGGAGTCCTGCCACCAGCATCATTGTTTCCAGGCTCTGGCCGAGGGGGAACAAAGCCCAGCAGAGCTGTGGTGGATACAGCCACAGGCCAGCTGGATTTTCTGGCTCCCCCATGGCTGCCAGACTTGTCTTGGGGAATTTTGCAGGGAAAGCAAAGCTTTTGAAGCTCTGTGTTTAAGTTGGTTGGGAGCATGAACTAAATGCCTTCCTGTGTCTGTCTGAACTCTGCTGTCTTCAGTGGGACATGGGCTTCCTATTCCTCCTTTATTAGAAGCCTTGGGGGCACTTTACCCCCATGTGCACAGTTACTTGTTTCCATGCAGTATGTGAGAACATGTACATATATACACAGGCACACGTGTACTTTTTTTTCCCCCTTGCCTTGGTGTTTCCTGCAATTAGTGCCAATAATTCAGTGGTGCTCTGACTTCCCTTTAGAATCATAGAGTCATAGAATAGATTAGGTTGGAAAAGACCTCCAAGATCATCAAGTCCAACCCCTTGATCCAACTCCAATTACTATATCATGGCACTAAGGGCCACGTCCAATGTATTTTTAAAAACCTCCAGGGATGGTGAATCTACCACCTCTCTGGGTAGGCTGTTCCAATGCCTGATAACCCTCTCTGTAAAGAATTTCTTCCTAACATCTAACCTAAACCTCCCCTGGCAGAGCTTGAACCCCTGTCCCCTTGTCCTTGCAGCTGATCAAAACCTCCCCCAAGGCCATACAACTCCTGAGGAAAGGCACATGATCTTAGTGAAACTATTGATTTTATTATACACATCTGCACATATTCTACACACCACCCACATATTATACCAGAGTTTCAGTGTTAGTCGGTGCTTTGTAAAGCCATTTGTGGCCAGGTTCTGTTAGTCTGCGTGCCCTAGAGCCTCAGTGGGTGCCTAAGGCAGTGGCACAAGAGGTGTAAAAAGGGAGGAGGTCTCAGACCCGTGTCTGTGTCTGCTTAGCAAATTCAAGTGAGTCAGAAGCCACCCAGGTTTCTCCCCTGCATCCCTGAGTCGAGTTAGTCTTGCAATCTTGAAGCAGAAAAAGGTAATTCTTGTCCCTGTTGGCTGACAGGTGCCAAGAGGGAACAGGGACAGTTGTCTCCCTTCTGGGCTAAGCTTCTTTGCTCAGGATGGAGTTCCTGGACTGTGATTCCTCTGTGCCCTGGTGCTTTCTGAAAGGAGAGGGGGACAGCTGACGGCTGCTGCACGGCAGAGACCTTGTAGGGGTGCAGAGAGGAGCTGGCAGGGCTGAAGCCGGAGCTCTGCTGCCCAGTGCAGAAATGCCCTGGGGCATCCCCTCCCCTTCTGTCCCTGTGCTGCTGTGTGGGGCAGGAGGAGACTCACCTGCGTCTCCAGAGGCAAAGCAGCAGCAGGGCAGCAAGAGCCACGGCTCCCAGCAGGCCGGCCACGAGCCCTGTGATGAGCAGCACCGGTGAGTTCCCTGGGCAATAGAAGGAGGGGCTGCCATGAACTTGCCGGGCTTTGCTCCATCCCATGGGGTGGGCGGCTGGGGCGCCCCTTGCCGTGCCCCCGGGTGGCACCTACCCCAGGGGACGAGGAGGCTGCGGGTGCCCAGGCTGCGGTGGCGCACGCGGCAGGCGTAGCTGTGCCCGTCCTGGGGGGCCACGGCCAGGACGCTGGAGAGCTGGTAGGTGAGGTCAGCGTTGGGCAGGACGGGGCTGGTGTTGAGCTGCGGGCCCGGAGGCACCTCGTGGCCATCCCTCAGCCAGGCCACACTGATGGGCCGGGGGTAGAAGGCGGTGACGTGGCAAACCAGCAGCAGCTGGTGTGGGCTGGGCGTGCGGGCAAAGACCGTGGCCACGGGCAGCTCTGGGGGGTGGGAGCAAAGGGGTGGGGGAAGCCCTGGTTGGGCACGGCTTGGCCCCAGGGCTTTGGGGTGGCTGTGGCAGGGTCAGGGTGGTCTCACCTTGTCTCTCCAGAGCTGCCCTCCCGTAACTCAGGAACATCTCCAGGGCATTGACACAGGTATCGTTCAAGAGGTCCTTCACCGCCTCAACGAGGGTTGTGTCGTTCTGGAGGACATCCCTGACGTACCGTGCCAGGTCGGTGTCCTGGGAGAGGGTCCAGGTGGCATTGTCTGTGTTGAAGCTTAGGAAGTCCTGCCCATTGTAGCCCACATAGGCGAATATCTGAGAGGTCCTGTTGGGGTAGAGCTTGCAGCCTGCCATGAACTGAAGCACAAAGGGGTCTGGAGGGGCCGAGAGGGGAGAGAGGTTGCCTGAGGGGCTGGGATTGCCTTCCTGCAGGCATGGTCAGTGCCAGCACTTGCCAGATCCTTCCCCGCTCCCCAGCTGCTGTTTAGAGAAGGGACGCAGTGAAGAGTGGATACTCACAGGGCACATCCTTCTGTATGGCGCCTTCATTCATGATGCGGATGAAAGTATACAAATAGATCTTGAAAATGTTATCAATGATGTCCCACTGACTGCGGGGCAGGGCTGGACGCACCCAGGGCTGGCAGAAGTGGATGTCCCAGGTGTGCTTATCAAGAGACCCAAGTTCGATGTCTTCCAGCAGGCCTATCCCCTCCGTGTCCACAAAGGAGGTGTTTTGGAAGGTAGAGGTTTGAAGCAGCCGGAAAGTGAAGGTCCCTACGTGAGACAGGGGTTGGCAGGGAGGAGAGGGACAGGGAAAGTGGAGGGGCTGAGGGACAGGTCCTTGAGGTTGCAGAGATCTGTGGGCCCCCCCAGGCCCCCTTCATCCTTGGCAGCCCCGGCTCCCAGCCCTGCACCCTCCTCAGGTGGCTGCATCCCTGCCGAGGAGGAGGTGTGGAGCCAGGGGACAAGGAGGGGTGAGGAAGCAAGAGCCAAAAGTGGGTGAGGAGCAGGAAGCCTCTTGCCCATGGAGTGCCACGGGGGCATGGGAGCAGCTGTGGGTGAGGCAAGGCTGCCACTTACCCTGCAGGGTTGCCCATGTCCCAGAGAGGAGGAAGAGGTAGAGAAGGACGAGGAGGAGGCAGCAGCGAGGGGGCTGCATGGTGCCAGCAGTGAGGCCCAGAGTGTGCAGCAGTGGGTGCAGCAGCAGGAGGAAGAGGCTGTGGGAGATGAGGCTGGAGATGTCTGAGGCTGGCTGTGCCTGGGCAGCTCTGCTGGTTGTAATGGCCCTGGCAGCCAATAGGGCTGGCCCTGAGGTTTAGGGGAGGGCTCCAAGGTTCCCACTTGGGGTAGGCTGGGGCATCCCGAGTGTGACTGTGAGTGTGGGGGGAATTTGCTTTGGAGCAAGGTCACCCCACCGCACCCAGGATTGATCCCTCATGGCCAAGGCAGCACCGTGACAATTAGGGTGATGGGGGTGAACTGACCCCTCTTTTCTCCCCCCCTTTCAGGTGGATGTGTCTCCTGCCCATGGGCTGCATGCACTGCCCTGAGGGGAATATCCTGTCCTGCCAGTTGTGCCTGGCGTGTCTCGCCCTGCACAGAACAGACCCCGCCATCCACTGTGCACTGCCAGGTGGGTTCACACCAACGGGGCTGCCTTTCCCAGAGGGCAGCAGAACCCTCTTCCCACCACATGGCTTTGTGCCTGGGCTCTCTGTGCCCCCAGGCTGTGTGCCCATCCCATGCCTCCTTGTCACCTCCCAGCCACACCACAGCCAGGCCACACTGATGGGCTGTGGGTATAGAAGCTGGTGAGGTGGCAAACCTGCAGGAGAAGAGCTGGGCCAGGCACGTGGGTCAAGCCCACGGCCCTGGACAGCTCTGGGGGATGAGAGTGATGGAGAAGAGCTGATGGGGACATTCCCTGGCCCCTTGGCACTGCTGGCCTGATTCAGTGGGCAAGGGACTCCCCAGGTTGAGGTGAGAGCAGTTCCAGTGTGGACCACAGCTGTGGGGTTAGGGATGGGTGCAGGCATTGCTGGAGGAAGCAGCTCCTCCAGGAGCTCCTTTTGGGGTGCCTAAGGTGAATGGGCTAGAGCAGCTGTAGTGTGTTGTTTCCAAGGGAAGTGATGGGCTGCAGGGCCTGGAAGGGACTGTTTCTTATTGACAGTCATCAGAATTCTGGAGCAGTGGTACTTGGCCAGTAGGCTGGGGATGGGAGCATATACCCCCACTCTGATGGCCATTCCAGGGAGTTTCAGTGGATGAGCAGCTTCCCCCTTTCCATGGAGCTCTATCCATGCTCTAGGAGCTGGGAGCTGCTTCTCTGCTTCCCTGCACCCCAGTGTTGGGGAGCCCCAACTCTGCCCTGAATGCTCCCAGGAGAGGGCCTGGGGATGGCCTGCAGGCTGACACTCCCCTTTCCTTCTCACCAGCTTTGGTAGGGCACCCTGTCCCCCTCCTGAGGAGTCCCCTGTGCATGGGAACAGGAACGGTGGGAGCCATTCCCCTGCTCTGTCCCCATTGGCACCAGTGTCCCAAGCTGGGGGTTAGCAGAGGCAGCCTCACCCCCCAGTGTCCCTGATCCACTGCTCCTCCCTTACCTGCAGTTTCTCTTCCCCTTTCCTGGAGGGAGCCCAAGCTGAGGGCGAAGGCAGAGCTGAAAGCACATGTGAGGGGAAGTGTGAGGGGGGTGCCCTGATAACACCCAAACACAACCAGGGCCGAGGGGTGTGACCCCCGTGCTGTGGGATCCCTCCAAGCACAACTGGATCCAGGTGTCGCTGCTCCATGTCTCCATTTTCGGTGTCTCCAGCTGTAGGGACATGGGGAAGGCCCACATGGAGCTGCTGCAGGCTGAGGTGCAGCCCCTCGTGACACGGAGTCAGTCCTGGGGACACAAGGACCCCAAACCCCTTCCCTTCCATGGAGCTGTCCCAGTGAGAAGTAGGGATGCTGTGGTGGCCTGGGAGGCCCAGAAATGGCACCAACTTCCCCAGCTATGGCACCACAAAGTCCACATCCCTTCCTTTGAAGGCACCAGTGCTGGGCCCAGAGGGGAGTGTTTGGCTGGTGGGATGGCAAAGCGCAGCCTTGGAGCAGTCAGGGAGGGAAGGGGCAGAGGCACTTCTGTCCACGCTGTCCTGTGAGGTGACCACTTGTCCCCACGATCCCCCCTAAGATGAGTGTTGGTCACTTCTTGCTGAGCAGCTGAGGGGCCGTTCTCAGCCCTCTGAGGGGCCGTTCTCAGCCCTCTGTCCTGTGCAGGTGCACATGACACTGCTGGTGCCTGGGTCACTGGTAGGACAGGAGCAGGCACCTGCTTTGTGCTGGTGGTCACAATGTGTTCAGCCCCCTCTGAATTTTCTCCAGATGTTTCCCACTGTCACAGGGGATCAGAAGTACTTCTTTAGCCATTCCTCTTCTCTATGGAATGTACTTCTCCTCGTGGTTTTGTTATTGTTTGTTTGGTTTGTTGTTTTTTTTCCTCTTTCTTGCTCCCAACTTCTTTGTCCTTCACATTGTCCCTTTGTCTGGTCAAAAAATAACCCAAGGGGACAGGGAGCCCTGCCCACAGCTGAGGGTTTCATCTGTCTGTCCCCAGTCAGCAAGGGCTGGGAGAGGCTTGGTGTCACCCCTCATGCTGCAAGGTCCTTGAGCCCTGTGGTGCCAGCAGGTGACTCTGGCTGCCAGGAAAATGGAGTCCTGCCACCAGCATCATTGTTTCCAGGGTCTGGCCGAGGGGGAACAAAGCCCAGCAGAGCTGTGGTGGATACAGCCACAGGCCAGCTGGATTTTCTGGCTCCCCCATGGCTGCCAGACTTGTCTTGGGGAATTTTGCAGGGAAAGCAAAGCTTTTGAAGCTCTGTGTTTAAGTTGGTTGGGAGCATGAACTAAATGCCTTCCTGTGTCTGTCTGAACTCTGCTGTCTTCAGTGGGACATGGGCTTCCTTTTCCTCCTTTCTTAGAAGCTTTGGGGGCACTTTACCCCTATGTGCACAGTTACTTGTTTCCATGCAGTATGTGAGAACATGTTCATATATGCACAGGCACACCTGTACTTTTTTTTCCCCCTTGCCTTGGTGTTTCCTGCAATTAGTGCCAATAATTCAGTGGTGCTCTGGCTTCCCTTTAGAATCATAGAGTCATAGAATAGATTAGGTTGGAAAAGACCTCCAAGATCATCAAGTCCAACCCCTTGATCCAACTCCAATTACTATATCATGGCACTAAGGGCCACGTCCAATCTATTTTTAAAAACCTCCAGGGATGGTGAATCTACCACCTCTCTGGGTAGGCTGTTCCAATGCCTGATAACCCCCTCTGTAAAGAATTTCTTCCTAACATCTAACCTAAACCTCCCCTGGCAGAGCTTGAACCCCTGTCCCCTTGTCCTTGCAGCTGATCAAAACCTCCCCTAAGGCCATACAACTCCTGAGGAAAGGCACATGATCTTAGTGAAACTATTGATTTTATTACACACATCTGCACATATTCTACACATCTCCCACATATTATACCAGAGTTTCAGTGTTAGTCGGTGCTTTGTAAAGCCATTTGTGGCCAGGTTCTGTTAGTCTGTGTGGAACAGTTCAGTCTCAGCACAAAGACTTCTGGAATATGGTTAATCAAGGCACTTTTTAGGAAAAAAAATTGGCTAGAAAATGGAAGTGGAAGGGTACAGCTTTCCACCTAGTGATCAAAGTGTTATTGTAGCAGAAGTGGGAGAAATTGCCTCTGGGCATTGAGGTGCCCTAGAGCCTCAGTGGGTGCCTAAGGCAGTGGCACAAGAGGTGTAAAAAGTGAGGAGGTCTCAGACCTGTGTCTGTGTCTGCTTAGCAAATTCAAGTGAGTCAGAAGCCACCCAGGTTTCTCCCCTGCATCCCTGAGTCGAGTTAGTCTTGCAATCTTGAAGCAGAAGAAGGTAATTCTTGTCCCTGTTGGCTGACAGGTGCCAAGAGGGACCAGGGACAGTGGGCTCCCTTCTGGGCTAAGCTTCTTTGCTCAGGATGGAGTTCCTGGACTGTGATTCCTCTGTGCCCTGGTGCTTTCTGAAAGGAGAGGGGGACAGCTGACAGCTGCTGCACGGCAGAGACCTTGTAGGGGTGCAGAGAGGAGCTGGCAGGGCTGAAGCCGGAGCTCTGCTGCCCAGTGCAGAAATGCCCTGGGGCATCCCCTCCCCTCCTGTCCCTGTGCTGCTGTGTGGGGCAGGAGGAGACTCACCTGCGTCTCCAGAGGCAAAGCAGCAGCAGGGCAGCAAGAGCCACGGCTCCCAGCAGGCCGGCCACGAGCCCTGTGATGAGCAGCACCGGTGAGTTCCCTGGGCAATAGAAGGAGGGGCTGCCATGAACTTGCCGGGCTTTGCTCCATCCCATGGGGTGGGCGGCTGGGGCGCCCCTTGCCGTGCCCCCGGGTGGCACCTACCCCAGGGGACGAGGAGGCTGCGGGTGCCCAGGCTGCGGTGGCGCACGCGGCAGGCGTAGCTGTGCCCGTCCTGGGGGGCCACGGCCAGGACGCTGGAGAGCTGGTAGGTGAGGTCAGCGTTGGGCAGGACGGGGCTGGTGTTGAGCTGCGGGCCCGGAGGCACCTCGTGGCCATCCCTCAGCCAGGCCACACTGATGGGCCGGGGGTAGAAGGCGGTGACGTGGCAAACCAGCAGCAGCTGGTGTGGGCTGGGCGTGCGGGCAAAGACCGTGGCCACGGGCAGCTCTGGGGGGTGGGAGCAAAGGGGTGGGGGAAGCCCTGGTTGGGCACGGCTTGGCCCCAGGGCTTTGGGGTGGCTGTGGCAGGGTCAGGGTGGTCTCACCTTGTCTCTCCAGAGCTGCCCTCCCGTAACTCTGGAACATCTCCAGGGCATTGACGCAGCTATCCTTGAAGATGCCCTCCACCACCTCAGCGAGGGTGGTTTCGTTCTGGAGGACATCCCTGACGTACCGTGCAAGGTCGGTGTCCTGGGAGAGGGTCCAGGTGGCATTGTCTGTGTCCAAGCTGAGGAAGTCCTGCCCATTGTAGCCCACATAGAGGAAGACCCGAGAGGTCCTGTTGGGGTAGAGCTTGCAGCCTGCGATGGTCTGAGCCACAAAGGGGTCTGGAGGGGCCGAGAGGGGAGAGAGGTTGCCTGAGGGGCTGGGATTGCCTTCCTGCAGGCATGGTCAGTGC